TATGAACAAATTGAAAAATAGAATTTGAACTAATGTAATCTATGAACAAATTGAAAAATAGAATTTGAACTAATGTAATCTATGAACAAATTGAAAAATAGAATTTGAACTAATGTAATCTATGAACAAATTGAAAAATAGAATTTGAACTAATGTAATCTATGGAAAACAAATTGGAAAAAGGTTCATGATATTCACACTGTATCTCTCGTCCAGCAAGGAGCCCCGATTTGTGCGTCACTAAACATGTATTGGCGCAACTGTAGGCGATGTTGGCAATATTTTTTCAATGTCTCTTTGATAACGTTCTGTGATGAGTTCCATCTGCATGTAGTCGTTTCTTTCACCGTGCAGCTTGTTAGCGGGAGCTCTAGGTTGCATTGTTGAAGGGGCGTCCGGAACGAGGCCCTCCTATTATATTATTCACCCGTATACCGACGAGACAGCTTAAAGTTTGGGCCACGTTGATGAGGAAAGGAAAGTTTGGGAACATCAAATAATCACAGGAAAAATGAAGGGAAAAGCGGCGAGTTCAGGCAGGAAGAAAGAGGATAACTATCTAGAAAGCCTGCCAGATGTGGACAAAGATGGTAAGTGTTTGATCTTGAAGACACCCTTCCTTTCACCCGAGAGATGGAGTGGAAAGGTCATGATCGCCAACGTTCTAGAAGGACATGGTACTTAGAGAGAGAGAGAGAGAGATACCATCGAGCGGGAGATACCTGTCTCTCTGGTTGTTTCACTGGGAGAGAAATTACTCAGCCCAGTAATGCGGCCTCTTTTTGACATTTTAGAATGCCTTACGTCTAGTTTGAAATGGCTGTCAGCTTGGTAGTCTCGTTTTCACCTCGGATTTCCCATATACGATCGGACATAATTTCTTATTTCTTATTTAGCATATATAAAGATTAGCCGCAAAGTGATTATCCAGGAATTTATGAAGATTCATTGTCAAATATACGATTTCGTGTTTTAAAAAAATTCTAGAAGGTTCCTCTTTCCTTTAAACTACTCAAGTTTCGGGTGGACAAACAAGCGTGTAGATAAATGATCACACAATGGGAAATGAGTACTTTTTATCGCAAACACATCAAGATAATTGGCATGCACTGTCCAATACAAGGAAGTTGCATGCTTGTCAGATAAAAAAGTAGAGAGTAAGATTAAATTCTCATTTTGTCAGCATGAGCAAGATTTTTCTTTCAAGATATCACTTATACAGAGATACGTCACGACTTATGAAATAATAATAGCGAAAACTATGATCAGAATAATCGAAAATAATTATGCATACTGTTGCGTTACTAATCACCAAATATTGTCTTCGTATTACTATAGACACACACACACACACACACACACACACACACACACACACACTGATAAAGTATCTACATATTCATTGTAGCCTCACTGCGGTTTTGCGTTCAGTTAATGTTCTATAGTGGATTAGCATGTTTTTCGAATCAGTGTTTTAGTGTTTAGTTCTGGCGGAAAAGAAACTCCTTTGTTAGTTCGATTGGCCGCCGCTAGATGGCGCAGCTACGAGAATTATTTACAAAGGTATCGGCGATTTTGGAGACAGTTATTTAATATAACTGCCATACACATGTATTTAAAACATGGAGCATTGTTAATTTTCAAGAAATATGCAGTTATAATTGATACTTGCTATGTTGAAAGATGGAGAAAATACTGCCTCACATCCATTTCGATAAACAAGTATTCCGGGAAATCACAAGATCAAATGACTTACGTAGTTTCTAAAATTAGATAATAATACAATGATAGGTCATTTATATTCTACCAATCACACTCTGTTTCAAACGATTCAGGGTTTTCGCCTCATTCATAAAAATACCATTTACGCTATGTTTACATCGAAGTGGTTGCCAGTTGTACAAAAGTGGGACTCAGCAAGTCTACTGAAATACAATTCCTCTACTGTACATGTATGTGCACACACACACACACACACATGTATATTCATATGTATATACTCATATATGTATATATGTACACTCGCTAAAAAATATATTTACTCAGGAGTAAATGAAACCCAAACGATGGCTTGGAGTTGATTCAGAAAGGTTGGTACTTTTTTTCAAAGCTCCGTACAGATGAAACCTTATAATGTGTTCGGAGTTGACACGTGGCATATTAGCAATGGTGATTTCAAAATCCATTCGTAACCTCATAATTACGCTTTACTCAAGAGCCGAAATATAAAGATTAGCTATTTCGAAGTCAACCGTGTCTGTGTGAATCCAGCGACACCAAGCAACTGGATCCACCAAAGACAAGACCAAAAGTGGGTGCCCTAGATTCACGACGGAGGAAGATCAAGTAAATATCATTCAAAACTATAAATCACTGTACAACATGAACGTGAAATAGAAGTCTTGCTTTGAAGTGCATAAATACTATACCCTAATGAAAACCATTTTATCCTCAGTGGCAACATCCCTTACTGTGAGTCATCTTCTTCTTCTCCAAGACGCCCCTGAGACGGTTACCAAAATTAGGTCGAGCTTACAGCATTTTTTTCAACCGCTTTCGTCGTCGTATCATATTGTCAAATTAGAAAGACTAAAGATACTTTTTTTTGCAATTATGAATATTGATAAATATATTAACAGATAGATAAAAAATAGGTTGATATATAGAGAGGTAGACAGACAGATAACATGGCAGAAAAATACAGGCTGATAGGCACTTTAGTACATGTAAGATACATTAATCGGTAATGAAGTATGCGTGCGTGCGTTCGTGTATGTGTGTGTGTGTGTGTGTGTGTGTGTGTGTGTGTGTGTGTGAGTCCATGAAAAAGACACCGTAATTACCACTTAGCACATGCCGCTGATTATGCAGAACATCCTGTTTTGAGACGCACAGCGATATGTTGCGAGCATGATGCAGTGTATGAAAAATCCAGTTCTCGCAGGAAGGATGGTAGCGGGGGGGGGGGGGGGGGGCAGCTGTTTTGAAGATGAGGAAAAAAAAAATCAAATTCCAATCACAAAAACTTGTTGCAATCAAACTTAGGTAGCATTCCAAAATCTTGCACAAGCTCTTAGAAAATAATTGTTCTGGCAAAGATGATATACGAACTTGCTACAACTTCATGGCTATCACTTTGGCTGATAATGCAAAAGAAAAAAAGAAAAAGATATACAGGCATACACACACGCACACGCGCATATACACACATATATACACACGCATAGATTCTTTCTCTCTCTTCTATCTGTGTATCCATATGTCTATCCATATATACGCACGCACACACGCACACACACATATATATATATGTATGTATATAAGTATATACATGCCACATATATATACATATATATGTATATGTATATATATATGTTATATATTTGTATGTGTATGTTTGCATATATATATATATATTATATATATATATTATATATATATATATGATATATATAATGGAAATACCTAATTAGACTTACAAATCGTGGATTTATTTCATTCACGTTCATATAGCATGCTTTCATTGTCTATATATTAGATTTTTATTATTTGCGATTACGAATGCTTTGATATTATTTCATTGATTAAGATCTCCAAGAAAGCTACGGTAATAGATACTATTCCTAATACTGATTTATCTATTCCTCCTTATATCTATTATCTTAACGTTATATTTTGTATATCTGAGAAAGATATATTCGAAACCGGTTAAATACATATATTCCTTCTCAGTCTTATCTTTTTCGCTTTTGTATCTATGAATACAGTTTATATTATCTTTTGCTATTAATATTACTGTATTTTAGTCATTATAATTTTGAACGCCATCATTATCATTATTGGGATCTGTATTATCATCGTCATTCCTGTTTTTGCCATTATCTTTATTTTCATCAAAGGTTCATTATCAACATTATTATAATCGTAATAATATGAAACAACAAAACAATAATGGTGATGAAAAATAACAGCAATGATAATAATAAAACAATAATCATGATAATGATAATAATAATAATGTACTATTTCCAATACAAATGATGATAAAAATAGTAATGATAATAATAAAACAATAATCATGATAATGATAATAATAATAATGATAATAATGTTACTACTACTACTATTTCCAATACAAATGATGATAAAAATAGTAATGATAATAATAATAATGATAATAATGTTACTACTACTACTATTTCCAATACAAATGATGATAAAAATAGTAATGATAATAATAATAATGATAATAATGTTACTACTACTACTATTTCCAATACAAATGATGATAAAAATAGTAATGATAATAATAATAATGATAATAATGTTACTACTACTACTATTTCCAATACAAATGATGATAAAAATAGCAATGATAATAATAAAACAATAATCATGATAATGATAATAATAATAATGATAATAATGTTACTACTACTACTATTTCCAATACAAATGATGATAAAAATAGTAATGATAATAATAATAATGATAATAATGTTACTACTACTACTATTTCCAATAATAATAATAACGATCATTATAATAATAATGATGATAATAATAATAATGATAATAATGTTACTACTACTACTATTTCCAATACAAATGATGATAAAAATAGTAATGATAATAATAATAATAATAAAGATAATGATAAAGATAATGATAAAGATAATGATAATAATAATGATAATGATAACATTAACTATTACTAATATAATAAAAATAATAACTAACAATAATAGTAATAATAATGACAGATAGGAATAAGGATAGGGAGGATAGTAAGAGTAATCACTAAAACCGCTATCATTATCATTGCTAGTAGTGGTGTTATCGTTATCTCAGTATTTCTATCACTGTTACTAAAAAAAAGGCTAAAACTCAGACTTCCCCACCCAACTTATTAAAAAAAAAGAAAAGAAAAGAAAAATGGTTGCTATGACCTTGAATTTCGTCCTGAAGTGTATATAAGCTGAGGTTCAACTCGAGTCTGAAGCATTGTCTGTTCTGCTTGCATCTAGTACACAGATTTGAGACGATATTTTCGCCATGAAGTTGGTGAGTTACAAGTAGAGTTTTGTGAAGTGTGTGCAATGCTAGGTACATTTTATCTTTATTTTATTCCTTAAGGATAGACTTCACATATAATATTTCTTCAAATATGATATAAAAATAATAGATTAATGAAATATATCTTAACCCATGCCGCCAGGGAAATGTGGTTCTCCTGTTGTATTTTGTGAAATGTATACACTTAAGAGTCAAGAATATTCCTTGTAGCCTCAGCGGGCTTCACCTTTCCTTGCGTTTTCGGGGGAGAATGTTTATTTACTATTGCTGTCAATATCGGTTATTTTTTATATTGACAGTATGCTTATTATGTTGATATTACTAATATCAATATAAGATAAAATAAATTATTTTCGAAAATCTAGGAAAAGGACAAACATTTGAGACATGTAGTACAAGTAATGGGCTCATTGGTGACAAAGTACTTGTGGAGCCATCTATGTGTAAAGACAGCTAACAAACTTAACTCACAGGAATTTCACAATTTGTGAATTTAGAAACTTTAGTTGCAGTTATAAGGGAAGCCACACGCATATGTATGTTTATAAATATAGGTTTGAGTGTATATAAGTTTTTATGTGTGTTTGCATGTATATAAATATACTGTATATATATTTGTTTGTATAAATATGTATATTGTATATATATAAGTATATATACACATACATACGTATATATGTGTATACACACATTTAGGCTTGTGTATGTTTATACTTATATATACATGTATATACATATTTATATATATCAACCCGTCTCAAATCGAGAACTGATATCGCATAATTATTTGCTGACTACAGCTGTCGATGTTCCTGGCCATTGCTGTGGTCGCCTCCTGCCTGGTGGCCTGGGCCAGCGCCATGCCCGACCCTTACGCCTTGGCTGACGCCGACCCTGAAGCTGTCCCCGACGCTGTTCCTAAGGCTGACGCTGAGGCCGATCCCCACTTCGGGAGAGGTTTCGGAGGCTTCGGAAGAGGATTTGGAGGTTTCGGAAGAGGTTTCGGAAGAGGTTATGGAGGTTTCGGAAGAGGTTATGGAGGTTTCGGAAGAGGTTTTGGTGGTTTCGGAGGGGGAAGAGGTTTCGGTCACTTCGGTCACGGCTTCTGGTAAAAACCTCCAGCTCATGACATCTCGGACAGTGACGATTGCTTTGTAACATTGGCCTTTTCAACGTTCTTTGCAGGAACCCTGAATAAATTTTCGCCACATGAAGAAAATAATTAAAAGATCTTTATTATTTCCTTTACAAGTTTTTACCATTTACTAGATTGGATATATGTATCGATATCTACAGCTGGAAGTCAGTCCTTTTCTCTATCATTCCGTTCATCTGAGTATATGTACATATACGTAAGCATATACATACATCCATACACAATACATATTTTCTGGTGAACCCTAGCTAGGCCAAAACTATAAATCTCTTCAACGAAACAGAGAGGAAAAACAGAAACGGTGTGTATGAGTGTGTATGATTCGTCAATATCTTGTACTGTGTACACGTACATACATATATGCATATATATGTATATATAAACATGTATATACATACCCATATAACAACTTTAATGGCAACAGCAACGATCATGATAATGATAAGGGCGAAAAAGTAACATAAATGAACACGTTAGTGGTTATTATGATATTTGTGATATTACTTCAGCTACTACTGCTACTAACAATAATCATGACATTGGTAATATTAGTAATGGTGATAATAATAATAGTAGTAATTATATAAGGATGGCGATAATAATAAAAATGTTACTAAAACTACATCTAATACCAATAATGATTGTAATAACAATAATAGTAATAATAGTAGGAAGGAGGAAAGGAATGATAAGAGTAATCACTACTTTTGTCATTATTACTATCACTATCGTTATCTCATTACCGTTATTATTGATATCACATTAATATTCCTCTTACTGTTACTGAAACAATACATAAAAAATCTTGAAAAACAAATCAAAAGAAAAAGAACCTAAATTCTCAATAGATGCTTTCTATGTAGAAAACACCATCTATTTCCTGCATTTTATTTTCTGTAAAAGTACTGATTGTCCTAAGAGAGTAACTTTATGGTCATAATCAATGTTAATGTCAACTATAGACTTATACAGTCAAGTAGCAACTTTAGTATCGACTTTAGGTCTACGAGGATATAAGTAGGAAAAGAATGATGAAAATTATTGCAGGGAAGAATAAAACGATACACTAACCTACAGTTACATAAACGTAAATGAAATTATGATACTGGCACATCATATATCTGTGGCTATGGTTTATGTGTAAGAATAGTGTAAATGTATCCAAACGTATTTACCAAGATTGTTGATGTCTGACTAGGTGGATATATTAATACATACATGAGATAGATAGATACATACACAAACAAAACTATTCACAGAGAGACAGGAATAGAAAACGAATATAAAATTATAACAACTAGATTTACAGACTTAAATTAATAAGCTCCCCCACTCAAAAAAGGGAAAAATAAACCCCAAACTTCAGAAAAAAGTCCTAAATTCCAGACTTCACCATTCAAATTTCCTGAACTATGACCTTGACATACGTCCTGAGGATGATGCATTGTTTTGCTTGCATCTGGTACTCACACTTGCGAAGATATTTTCGTCATGAAGTTGGCGAGTAGCAAACAGAATTTTGTGAAGTGTGTGTAAAGGTAATGATACTTAATCTTTATTGTTTTGATTAGATTTTACATGTAATATTTCTTCAAATGTGATATATATGTATATAAACGAGATGTAACTTATCCCATGTTTATGCTTAAATATATATACACACACACATATATAGATGTATATATGTATATATATGAAACCGTCTTAAATCGAGAACTGATATCGCACAATTATTTAATGGCTACATGATTCTAGCCCTTGCTGTGGTCGCTTCCTGCCTGGTGGTCACGGCCAGCGCCATGCCTAACCCTTAAGCCTTGGCTGACACCGACCCTGACGCTGTTCCTAAAGCTGACGCCTAGGCCGATCTCCGCTTCCGAATATTATGGTGGTTTCGGAGGCTTCGGAAGAGGTTTTGGGGGTTTCAGAGGTTTTGGAAAAGGTTTTGGGGGTTTCAGGGGCTTCGGGAGAGGTTTTGGGGGTTTCAGAGGCTTCGGAAGAGGTTTGGGGGTTTCAGAGGCGTCGGAAGAGGTTTTGGGGGTTTCAGGGGCTTCGGGAGAGGTTTTGGGGGTTTCAGAGGCTTCGGAAGAGGTTTGGGGGTTTCAGAGGCTTCGGAAAAGGTTTTTGGGGTTTCGGAGGCTTCAGAATAGGTTTTGGGGGTTTCGGAGGCTTCGGAAGAGGTTTTAGGGATTTCGGAGGCTTCGGAAGAGGTTTTGGGGGTTTCGAAGGCTTCGGAAGAGGTGTTGGGGGTTTCGGAGGCTTCGGAAGAGGTTTCGGTCACTTCGGACACGATTCCTGGTAAAAATCTCCAGCTCATGTCACTCAGTGACTATTGCTTTGTAATATTGGCTTTTTCAACACGAATTTCCTAAATAAAATTTCGCCTTATGAAGAAAATGATTATGAGATTTTTAGTATTTCATTTATAAGTTATTACCGCTGATTTAATATATGTGTATATATATCTACAGCTGGCAGTCATTTTCTCTGTTATCATTCCGTTTGGTTTGGTATATCACCTTCTCTGGTTCAAATCGGTTAAATGGTAACACTGCATGAGAAATAAAAATAGGCATGAAAATGTTTCAGCGTTCATTTCTATTAAAGGGAAAAGCAAAGGGAAATAGGAGGGGAGGGGTGGTGTCGTTACCTACCTGTTGTTTTGTTGACGACACACATACTTATCTCGCAGCGTTGGTGCCTTCAAAAAAAGTTTTCTCGTCGCAGATTATTTTTGTATCCTAGAAAGCCTGTGGCTTGTCTGCATAGTGCAAAGCATATTCCATCGTTTTTCAGGAATAAGATCATGTCATAGTGAATCCACAGAAATTACGGAACAACTATTCGATACATTATGAATCAGAAGGAGACCAATTCGACCCCCAAAATACCAACCCTTCCGTAACATAAGGTTCTGTTCGTTATTGACTGTCGACACCCCTCCTAACGATAGTTTTCTGTGTAGCTGTACGTATACGTGTGCGTATACATAGTTATTAATATTGACACTATGCTTATTGTTATCGACATTACTAATATCAATATAAAAGAAACTATTTCCGTAAATCTAGGAAAAGGACAAACATCTGTGACATGTAGTACTCATAATTGGCTCATTGATGACAGTACACGAGGAGCCATCTATGTGTAAAGACAGCTAATAAACTTGACTCACATTGGGTATGGCATATAATTTACATGCCCAGCCAAGACGGGTTCAATTCACAACTTTTACATATTCTGTTTCTTAAATCATAACATATTACTGAATTTCACAATTTGTGAATTTAGAAACAAGTAATAGTTATAAGGAAAGCACCAGATGTTTCGAGAAAGCCAAAGTACAATTCAGGACCCAGAATGGGTATACACACGCATATGCATAAATGTGTTTGTAAATATAGGTGTGAGTGTATATATACATTTACGTGCGTTTACATATATAGAAATATATGTATATGTATTTGTATACACTATATGTATTTGTATTCATATGTATATGTATTTGTATACATATGCATATGTATTTATATACATATGCATATGTATTTGTATACATATGTATGTATTTGTATATATATGCATATGTTTTTGTATGTATATATGAATATATACATCTATATGCCTGGGTTTTAGGCTTATACATTTATATACAATATATACATACGTATATAAATGTAAAGTATACACATACACATGAGCTTACATATACACATACATGCATACATATGTATATATATTAAACCATCTTAAATTAAGAACATATATCACAATTATTTTATGACCGCAGTTGTCGATGATTCTGGCCCTTGTTTTGACCCTTACGCTTTGGCTGACGCCGGCCCTGAAGCTGTCCCCGACGCTGTTCCTAAAGCTGACGCTGAGGCCGATCCCCATTTTGGATTTAGAGGCTTCCGTTCAGATTTGGCGTAAGAAATGGTGGTTTCGGAGGCTTCGGAAGAGGTCATAGGTTTTTCGGAAGGGTTTCAGAAGGTTTCGGTCACTTCAGTCGCTTCAGGTAAAAACCTCCAGCTCATGACACTCTGACAGTGACAATTGCTTTGTAACATTGGATTTTTTAACCCGAATTTCCGTTTCCACAGGAGTCCTAAACAAAAATTCGCTATATGAAGAAAAAATATTACAAGATTTATACTTCCTCTATTATATGGCGGAATGTATGTGTATCGATATCTACAGCTAGCAGTCAATCTTTTTCTCTGTTTATTTAGCATCTACATATATGTACATATACGTATGCTTATACATATATTCATACTCAATGCATATTTTCTTGCCAACCCTCTCAAAATCAAAATGTCAGCGAGAGAGAAAGAGAAAGAGAGAGAGAGAGAAAGAAAAAGAGAAAGAGAAAGAGAGAGTGTGTGTGCAAAATCAGAAATGGTGTGCCTTAAAAATGAATGATTCAATCTCATATTGTGTATACGTACAAACATACATGCATACATACATACATACATACATTTATATGCATACACACATAACGACAACAACGAATATTATGACTTCACTTAAGCTACTACTGCTAACAATAATTATAACAATTATAATGACATTAGTAATGGTGATGACAATAATAACGATAACCATAATGATAATGGTGATAACAATAATAATATTGTTAATACTACTGATACCATTAATGATAGTAATAATAATAATGATAATTACAAAGATAATAAAGATAATGATAAGGATAAAGATAATGGTAATGATAATGATAACTAAATCACTAAAGCCACAATTATTGTTATTGCCAAACCTTATATTACCATCATTACCATCATTATTGGCATCAGCATTTCTCTGTTACTGAAAAAAAAATCTGGAAAAGTCAACCAAAAGAAAAAGAAGCAAAATTTTCTACATATGTTTTCTGCGTACAAAATGCCATCCATTTCCTGTATCTTCTTTTCTGTAAAAGTACAGATTGTCCTTAAAGAGTAATTTCATGGTCATAGTCAATATTAAGGTCAGCTATAGTCATAAAGTGTCAATTCTAGTATCGACTTCAAATTAGTTTCAGCTTCGGCGTCAGGAACAAGGA